GCTCCAAGGGTGAAAAGACAGTCCCTAACCCAGTGAGACTCTCAGTACAGTGATCCTCACTCCTCGCTGTCTGCAGTGAGGGTCAGATGAGCACTGGATGGGAGGGGGTTCGGGGGGAGGTGTTGGGAATGGAGGTGCCTTTCTTCCAGCGAGCTGCAGGTTTAACACAGGGCCAGGCGTAGAACGCTGCAAGTCCCAGAAAGACACCCGGTTTATTTTTCCTCCGTTTCGATTCTGGAGTATTAAGGAAGAGCCCTGGGAGGAGGGCTTTTATTTAAACCTGGTACTATCCCTGTCCCAGGTGTGCTTGGTGGGAGTCGGTGTGAGGGGAGTTTTATTGTTAGTCGAAGTGAGCTGAGGGACTTCCTCTGGATTTTAACCCATTGTTGTCCCTGTCTCAACAAGGCCTCACACCTAAACAGCATCGTCTGAGCTGAAGGTATCACCTCTGGTGTACACTGTTAAAACCTTCAGTTATCTCGGAGCAGTGAGTTGAAAGAAATTCTGGGATTTGCATGTTAATCAATCAAAACCTGCATCTCCTTTCGAACTGATTAAAGATTTAACAGGAGGGAGATAGCTAGCCATTTTTGGTTTATTCAATATATTTGCATCAATTATTAAGACCCTTTGATCTTTTACTTATAAATTCTGTGCTTTGATGCCTCTCTCACTACACTTGATGAAGGGGCAACGCTCCGAAAGCTCGTGCTTTCAAATAAACCTGTTGGACTATAACCTGGTGTCGTATGATTGTTGACCTTGTCCAACCTCAGTCCAACACCAGCATCGTTTGAGAACATGGGGCTTCTCAATGGTTCCTGTGGCAGATATTTACTCAGCATTTCCTGTGTTAATGCAGGTTGGAAATGTGGGACAAGCAAATTACACAGCATCTAAAGCTGGAGTGGTCGCCCTGACAAAGACCAGTGCAAAAGAACTGGCCAGGTATTTTACGCTGTCTCTGTGTGTGTGTGCGTGTCTGTGTCTGTGTCTGTCTGTGTGTTACTGGCTGAGAATTCATGTGTGTGTGTGTGTGTGTGTGTGTGTGTGTGTGTGTGTGCGCGCGCGCGCGCGCTTGTGTGTTTAGATCTGAGCACTTTGCTGCCAGGGAAGGTGCTGGTTACTGTTTGAGAAATAATATTGTGCAATTATGTGTTACCACCTGAACATTGTACAATGAGACATTCTATCCATGTGTGTTACTGTCTGATACTGTACGGTGTGACATTCTGTCTGTGTG